ATGTGCATAAATTGGTTGCTGGCTTTTAGAGACTATTTGTTCTCGCTTGCTTCTCCAACCACAAAAGGAGAAAAAGTGCAGAAGTAGCTCTGAATAGATTAGGAGTCAATTCAAAAGAACAGTTGTGGTTTTCCTGACGTCTAAAGTGAATCATGTAAGAAGATACTTTTTACTCTGGATTAAAAAGGTCACTGAGTAAAACCTCTGAGACGGTTGGGCTGGTTTATTACAATAGATATGACCGTTTGGGTGTGTGTCCATTCATTTTATCTCCAGAAATCACTTGAATTTAAACTAAAATAAAAAAGAAAATGGAAGTCGGATGCTGCTTGGATTGTTTATTAGAGGTTTTAAAATGCACTCATGTAGAATTTACAGCTGCAGAAATCAAAAACAATGCTGAACAGTCTGACGCTGTTTGCTCACTAGTGAGAGTAATATGGATAAATCTGAATTTTGACTTATTTTTAAAACTACATCAGCATAAAAATATTGTTCAGTCTAACGAAGTTTAACTCACCAATAATGTAAGTTTTATTTTCCAGTAACAGTCTTCTAGGTTCTTTCATCAAGTCCTGAATTGAAATGTGTTTGTGTTAAAAAATACATTTGAGTTCAACACTTCCTTTTTTCAGCTGCAACAGACAAGTTCATTGTTCTGAGTTATCTTTACTCAATTCAATTCAATTCAATACAAGTTTATTTATATAGCGCCAAATGACGACAAGAGTCGTCTCAAGGCACTTCACATAATAAACATTTCAATTCAGGTCAGTTCATTAAGCCAATCAGAAATAATGTTTCCTATATAAGGAACCCAGCAAATTATATCAAGTCACTGACTAGTGTCAGTGACTATACAGCAATCCTCATACTAAGCAAGCATGCAGCGACAGTGGAGAAGAAAACTCCCTTTAACAGGAAGAAACCTCCAGAGGATCCTGGCTCAGTATAAGCAGCCATCCTCCACGACTCACTGGGGATCGAGAAGACAGAGCTGACACACACACACACGCACGCACGCACACACACACACATGCACACACGCACGCACACAAAGACAAGTAATGTGTCTATAGTTATATTGTGATGTCTTAGTAAATATTCTATTTGGTGAAAGATAACTTTTATTGTTTTTATCCTAGTGGATCTATAATTAAATGGATAAAATAGTTTTAACACATCGCACATCAAGGAAAGCAAAAAGTTATTATCAGGAGAGGGAGCATGTTTTAGTGGTTAGCAGCAGTGTGCTAGACGATAGCCCCCTCCATGAGGCCACCACAGCTCAGCAGAACGTCATTGTAGCTTCTTCTGGGGATAAAAACACTTAGAGAGAAAATAAAGTTAACAGCTGAAATTGCAGAAAATAGTACAGTTAAAGAGCAGATTGTAGAAGAAAGCAGTAGAGTGTGAGAAGTGGTCAGTGTGTCCTGCAGCAGTCTAAGCCTATAGCAGCATGGCTACAGAGATAACTCTGGATAATCTATCCAATTTAGATGGAGGCATGTTGGATGCAGGGCAAGGGAGAGCCGTCTTTACCGACTGTACACTCCACTTCCCTGTACTCCCCCACTTGTCCAGATTTAGGCTAACATCAGATTTTAACCATAGGCCCTATCAAATAAAAATGTTTTAAGCCTAATCTTAAAAGTAGACAAAGTGTCTGCCTCACGGACTAAAGCTGGGAGCTGATTCCACAGGAGAGGAGCCTGATAACTAAAAGATCTGCCTCCCATCCTAAGTTTAGATATTCTGGGAACCACCAGTAGACCTGCAGTCTGAGAGCGAAGTGCTCGGTTAGGAACGTATGGAACAATCAGATCACTGATGTATGATGGAGCTTGATTATAAAGAGCTTTATATGTGAGAAGAAGGATCTTAAAATCTATTCTGAATTGAACAGGTAGCCAATGTAGGGAAGCTAAGACAGGAGAGATATGATCTCTCTTTTTAATTCTCATCAGAACTCTAGCTGCAGCATTTTGGACAAGCTGAAGACTTTTAACTACATTCTGTGGACTTCCTGAGAGTAATGAATTACAGTAATCCAGTCTTGATGTAATAAATGTATGAACTAGTTTATCAGCATCACTCCTGGAAAGTATGCTTCTAATCTTAGCAATATTCCAAAGGTGGAAAAAGGAAATCCTACAAACCTGTTTAACCTGGGATTTGAATGACATGTCCTGGTCAAAGATAACACCAAGGTGCCTTACTTTGTTCTCGGAGATTAATGTAATGCCATTCAGGTCAGGCGATTGGCTAAGCAAGTTCCTTTTCTGGATTTCTGGTCCAAAGATGAGAACTTCCGTCTTGTCTTGATTTAAAAGCAAAAAGTTTAGAGTCATCCAATGTTTTATGTCCTCAAGACAAGCCTGTAATCTACCTAACCGATTAGGTTCATCAGGGTTAATGGATAAATATAACTGAGTATAGTCAGCATAACAGTGGAAGTTTATCCCATGCTGTCTAATGATTTTACCTATTGGGAGCATATATATATATATAGTAAAAAATAATTGGTCCAAGCACTGAACCCTGTGTTACTCCGCAAGTAACCCTGGAATATGAAGACGATTTGTCATGTACATTTACAAAATGAAATCTGTCAGACAGGTAGGATTTAAACCAGCCTAACGCTGTTCCTTTGATCCCTACAACATGTTCAAGTCTTTCTAAAAGAACATTGTGATGAACTGTGTCAAAGGCAGCACTGAGATCTAACAAGACTAGAACAGACACAAGATTCTTATCTGAGGCCATGAGAATACTCCAAAATATACACTAATTATTTAGAAAACTAGATGAGAGAAGAATACGTCTAAATGATATTTTTACTTTTATGTTGTTGAGTTTGCTCCTGATGGCAAAGGCACAGACGCTGTCCGTGGTGCTGAAACGCTACCATGCAGCACACCAACTCCAGCAAGTTTTTAACACTCGAAGTTTTTGTAAATGATTTCATCAGGAAAAAAACTAGAAACAAATATGATAAAACCTGGTTCATGTAGTAGGTACTGCAGCCTGTGCTTCTTAAAAGCAAACCCCCAAGCTGGCTATTGATTTTGGCTGAAAAGTATCTAAACTCCTGAGACCCGAACTTGTTTTTGGTGATTCAAAAGAAAAAAATAATTCTAAACATTACAGATTAATCAACACTCATGAATGTGAGCTATAAATAAATAAATAATGAAATGTTAAATTGTACAAACTTCTGAAATAAAGAAGAAAGAAAACAGAATAAATGGAAACGTAAAGTCTATTTCAAGTGTCTCAAAATAATAAAAAAAGGTCTAAGTTGAAGAGAATAAAATGTTATAGTGCAAGAAGTCACTATTCACATGTAGACGCAGTCTCAGGAATCTAAAGTTATAGATGGTTATAATCAAGTGACTAAATTCTACATATGGATTATTACTCTACATAAATTTAAACAGTTGTAACAACATAAAAGCAGCATTATCCCAACAGTAAGTATAGTTTATAAACAACATGTTGTTTACAAATATTCTCCTTTTTTTGTAATTTTAAGGGACATTTTTCTTATGTTTTAATAAAATCTCCTGTTTGTAAAATTATACCAAAGTATTCTCTGTTAAAAGCAGAAACAGGTAATTACTACTTAAAGACGTTGTCTTCATTCTGTAGCAACATTTGAGCCTGTTTTAGTTTCTGCTGCACATGGAATCCATTTCCCGTGACTCCAACGTTCGTCTCCTTTGGTTGGTCTTTTCTTAAGCTGCACCGTCTGCACTGTAACTGTTTTTTCTTTTAATGGTTTTAATCTACTTTTATTTGTGTACTTTTAACTTTTCAATCTGCTGGGTTTTTTGTACCCAAAAAGCAAATCAAACTGCTTCTGTGTCTGGAATGTGTGCTATAAATAAAGCTGCCTTGCCTACATTTTATCAAATCAAATCAAAGATGCTTTATTAATCCCAGAGGGAAATTAGAGTTTCAGTACACACATGGGCAAGACACAGGACAAGAATTGGTGACTGTGGTCATTCGCAACCCTGAGTCGCGCTACCTGAATAGCGATAAGAGGGTTACATGAGGGTTGGTTCAGGTGGAGGGAAAAAAGGCACTTCAGAGTTACCCTCCACCGGGAGGGCAGCTTTGCTCTGCAAATTAAAAAAAAACTCCTCAAACAGATATGCAACAGACTTCAGACAACACAACATAAGTGTCCACTAGGTGGGGTGGTGGGTTGGGACTATCCCCACTTCAGTTCCTGCAGCCACGATAAGCAGCGCATGTCACTTCAGTGTGGATAGGGGGGGAGCATTGAGGGTTGGAGGGTTGCAGTGACCCTGGAACGTTTCAGTGGCCTTCCCGTTGTCCCGCCCAGGCTGGGATAGGTGACAGAGTTGAGTTGCCATAGCGACGGCACATTCCACATATTTTCTGAGGGGGAGTTTTTGTTGTAGCCTTGCAGGCTCAAGGGCGCCAGATTCCGATTAAAAATTGTTTTGGGGCCAGACAGAGATAATTTCCTCTCTGTCTTACAGTTTGTTGGTCCTCAAACTCTCAAAATCCCAATAATGGACATTAAACTATCCCAGTCCGTGCTGATTCGTCCACTCTCTCCTTGATGTCATCCATCTTTGTGCCAATTGAATGACACTCGGCCAAAGTCCCAAGCTTACGATTCATCTCGACAATTATGTGAGTCTGTGAATTCACAGCGCGGTGCAAACCATCTCTGAGCTCCGGGATCAGACCAATATTCCTTTACAGCTCGTTAATTTTCCGGTGTTGCAGCATCAAACATAAAGAGTCCTTTGTGTTACAAACAGTGACTTTTTTCTTTGAATTTTAATTGTACAAAAATGTAATGTACAATAGAATAAAACCAGTTAACGTTTCAGTATAAAAGCCTGCATTTTTCAAATAAAGAAAAATTTGATTGTGTTCAGATCAACCAAGGAGATGAGGAAAACCCAACGTTATAGAAGCGTGTCAATCATGTGGAGCCAGAGAACAAAGAACACAGGAAATGTCCACAATTTCTCTGTTTTATTGAGAACGAACAAGCTGGCACACGGTTGTTTTCCCTCCATCACACCATCTCACCTGCAGGAAATTGCCTCATTGGGTCTTCAGTAAGCTCATGTTTGACTTTTTCTCCATGAGTCATCTTTAAACTTTAACCTCAACTGTTTCAGCGCTGAACTATTACAGCTTCCAGGAAATTAGAGAGAGGGGAAGAAAATGTAGCAAAGAAAACAGAAAATAAAGAAGCCAATGATCCAGTTGGCAGAGTAGATGTAGATGATGACCATGTCCATGTCAAAACGCCAGCCTCTAGAGGCGTCCTCAAAGTCCATGGCGTCCAGGTGGTAGCCTCCTTCATGGGGGAACTGGCGCCTCGGACCTGAGCTAAACGGTCTCTGGAAGCCTGCTTCAGAAAGGAAATACCATTTATTCACACTAGTGTTTTGTTTTTAATACACATTTTAATAATGTTTATTTTGGAACATTAAAATATTTGTTTGCATATTTGGGTAAATTTGGGTATTTTCGTGGCAAAAAGAACAGCTTTCCTTTCTTGACTAGGTTTCATAAAATTAGATATAACTTTAATATTGTTATTTGTTTGTTTTAAATTTCTGGATAAACAAGCAAACAAACTTTCCAAAAGCATGTTGAATGCACGATGAAGCAACATTCTGTGACATAAAACAAGACGGCGATGCTTTAAAATAATTTTACTTGGATTTAGAGGCGTAAAATAAATGAAAATGTTCAAATCTTTCATGTTGCTACAACATTGGGCGATTTCCTAAAATCCCTGTGGATTAGAACCTTTTCTAACTGTAAAGGTGGCAGACAGCTGCTGTAGTCTACAAACTATAAAACAAAGTCAATCATGTGTTTAACCTTCTTTTCTTTGTTCAACGTCGATGCCTCATCACAAAAGCAAAACCCCAAAAACTAAAAACTAAACTCGGAATATTTAAACATTCCAATTATTGGTCACCAAGTGCTAATTTACCAGCTGCCAACACTTTAATCCCACCAACTGAAAAACTTGCCTCCAAAGATGCGCAAGAGCTTCCTGCAGCTTGGGAGAGGCCACTTCGCACAAGACGCTTTCTGAAAGCTCTGCTTCCGTGAAAGGAATTCCTTTGGGAAAAATGTCTTTACTGTTTGGTTCAGCTCTGGGAAAGAGAACAAGACACAAACTTCAGAGTATCATCAGTTAACATCTTAGACGTGCGGTCTACTAATTTATTCGATACATTTGCAGCGTTCTCTAATGTGTGCCTAATGAGTCATTTTACAAAAAGAAAGAGCAGACGCTCCGGTTCTGAGACACAGAAGTTTGCTAGTACAGATGTGGGTTGAAAACAGCAGGATTACTCATTATTATTATTATTATCAATGATACGCACACACATCGCTTCTGATTGGCTAACAGAATGCGTTCAGCCACGTTACAAAGTCATCACCAAGAAACTCTCTGCTCTCTTCTTGCTGCAAAAATAAAAATAAAAATGCCTTAATGTGGGCGAGCGTGAGCCAAGATGAGCGAAACCACGAATGCTAATTCACAGTGTGACATAGATATGTGAGGATTTTCAAATCCTGGCATTTCACCATGTATTTTCTATCAGAAGCCAACACAGGAAATAGGTGTAGAAGACTGTTTTCATGTTCAGTGACTGAATATAATCAGAAATTGTCATTAAAATTTTTTTCAGTTAACCACTCCTTTAAAAACATGAAATCAAGTATGATTTAGGATACATCCCTATCACCTGTCACGCTCTTGTTTTGTTTGTGAAGGATTCAGGATTCGATAAACAACAGTTGAATCAGGTGGTTTAATCGTTAACAAAAGCTCTTTTCTACAGTTCTGATGAACGTCTTGTTCACGACATTCTGAGTCCAGAAATAGGAAACATGAATCATCGAAGCTCATAACTTATTCACACCTTTGTCAAATCAGACTATACCATAAGTCATCAGGGATGTAAATGTGCAATACTCAGTTTTTACTTGTGGAACAGAAAAGTAGAGCATCAGAGTAGACCGAATAAAAGTGATCCGATTGTGTTTGATGTTGTTTCAGTGACTCATCTGGCGTGAGCTGAGCTAAAGGTCTACCCTGCTGCCTGCAGGACATCTGCAGCTGGGCCCTCTGAACATTCTGCAGCTCAGACTTTTAATCCGTCCAAACATAAAACTAAACACACAGAATCGTTTGCATTTAAAAGAAACACATATGCATGCAAGTGCCATACGACTGCCTCACCCTTTTGGAAGAAGACGTGTGTGATGACGGTTCTGCAGAGCGGGCAGGGGGTGCTAGCGGGGCTGTTCTTGGCGAGTGTCCTCAAACAGGGTTCACAGAAGATGTGGCTGCAGGGATGACACATGTAGGGACTGAAGTACACGTCCAGACACACAGCGCAGATGAAACCTTCTCTGCCTCTTGCGTTCATGGCCTCATCGTCCTCACTGCTGCTGCAGCTGGTGGTGGTGCTCGGGTTTCCTGCTGAACTCTAAACACGGCCAGGAGAAGAATTTAAAGCGTTGGTGATGAGTGAACAATCATCTGCTCTTGCAGATCAACATGGTCTGATTCAACACAAGGTCTAATTTTATCTCTAAAAGCTTGATAGGAGCCAGAGATCAGGCCTCTCACAAACTGTTTCAGGTGTCAAACAAACAGCAACGCAGGTAATAAACACATTTAACCTTTTGAGGCTGTTGCTTTTCTCTCTTTCACCCTTTTTAATGAGTGTTAACCTTACTGATGTTCACCTACACGGTATAATATTACGTGTGAGGATGCGAGGGTGTTAGGTGTTCAGAGGACACAGATACATTTTATTCCTTTTACTTTTCCAGCGCAAATAAAGTTCTTAATTCACCTTGACAAAGCTCCTTAGTTTTACTTTCTCAGCAAGAATCTGTTTTATTTTCACTCGTTTTATAATTTCCTCCTTTTATGGCGCTGTACTGCATCTACCACATCTCAGCAGTCGACTCATCTCGTCTCCTGTGTGCTTCTCCCCCTGAATCCATGCCATACTTCCCATCCCTAAATCCAAGAGTATGAAGTCCCCACCACCACCTTGTCCTCCAAAAAGATGTGTCAGCAGACCCGCAGGGAGATTTCAGTCTGCAGCTCCAGCGTTTAAAGAGCCTCGGGGTGTTTCCAGAGTAATTACCACTTTCTCACCCAAGGGGAGCTCCAGGGACTTCCTCGCAGCACCGCTCCTGCCTTTCAAGGTGTGTCATTAACACGGCGAGGAGAGTGCCCTGGGCTCAGAGCTCTGAGGTAATCATGGACCTCGATGCTCTCCAGTGGCAACATGCACTGAAACATGGCAGCTTTGCCCTGGTTACAGTGGATTCATAAATACACAAAACACAGCTGAACTGTAGATTAAACCTCCAGGTTACACAGGATGTAGAGAGGTTTAGGAAGCTAAACCCAGATTTGAGTGTGATTTATGTTTGCATGTCTGGAGCTGCTGATCTGAGGTCTGTCACAGCGATGTCTGCTTCTAAAACTGAAGTTAAAATCTCCCGTTCTCTCAGGATTCTCTGTGAATACTCTTTGTGCACCTTGAGCAAAATGACTGTGTGGTACATTTAATGTGCAGTCAGAAAATTAGAAGCATAGCTTAGATTTTTCTCTTAGTTTATTTAATTGCACATGTAGTGATAAATGTTCACCAAAATGCAAATAATCAGTCTTGTTTAGTCACGTTCATTCATGGAGCACTTTAAATACAATGCTGTCGCCCAAAGTGCTGAACACATTAAAGCCTAAGTTAATTTTAACCCTTTGATGCATAATGGTCACTACAGTGGACAGGTACTCAAAATTCTTATTTATTTGTTTTTGCTATTAAGCTCAGCTGTTGAAGACTTTATTGCATTTGAGCCCCTCCATTTGGACTTCAGTAAGCCAAGCCAGCATATTTCATGCACAGAATGCACGCTGTACACTGAGGTGGACATGTAATAAATAATTTGTAAATTATAAAATTTTACAAAAAAATGTTTGTTGAAATTTGTTTCATTCACACCTAAAGACGAATGAAAAAAATTGTTAAAAAAATCATGGTTGAAGATTTCATAATTCATGCATCAAAGGGTTAAATTACAACAGAAAATTAAATAAAATCTCATAAAATCCAAAACAGGACTAGATTAAAAAACAGCTAACAGTTAGTAGACACAACTGACTATAGGCAACAAGGCAAAAGCGTGCATGGCTAAAACCAGAGACAGAAAGTTCTAAAACCAAGTGTAACAGAATGAAATGACTGTTTCCTCCTCTCCTCTGACACAGAACTAGTCTGCATGAGATATGGTCTCAAGGTCTCATGCGTTTGCTTCTAACCTGCTTCTTTCCAGCTCAACAGAAGAACGAAGAATGGACTCTTTTCTTTTAATTAATCAAAGAACTCTATTTTAATAAAGCTAATCCATCCAAGTGTTAGTCAATAATAAGATGTGACCAATCTGTGAAATCAAAATATTAATTACTTTATTATAATCCTATAGAATATGATGGTACTATAACTTTAAATGTTCCAACAGGACTGATCTCACGTAAAAGACATGACACATAACTTTCACTGATCCAATCAGAATCTGCCAGATCTGATGGAGGCGTGGTTTTGATGGTGTTTGGTAAATCTGTCAACTTTCATTCGACCATAAACCAAAACATCCGAAGTATAAAACTATGCCCACGTCATCTCTAACGCCAGTTCAAAGCGTTCTAGAGAAGTTGTCGGAGTGGCCAATCCGTAACTTTCCTCTTCAGCCGAAAGAACCAACGACAAGCTGGAAAATTCGTTTTGTTCCAACTGCGGCAATGGTTCCTTTCAGAATAAAAGCTGAACCATCAAGACCCAGGCTCGGGTCTCACCAGACGCCAGTAAAATTGTCGTGACCCGGAAGTATCTCACAGACTTGTCTGGTCGGCAACCGCTGCTTTTCCTACCGGCTTCGGTTCCAGAGAAGGTCAAGCTGGACCTCGACATTCCTGATGTAACGGGGGCTTCCACCAGGGTATGTAGGCCGGCAAATGGCGTAGAATGTGTTTATGAATCTCCTAACCAAAGCTTAGCGCGAAGACATCACCTTCATTTCCCATCAGAACTAATCCCTTCTTCTTTGCTGGTTCTGAGCAACATTACACCTCACCCCATTCACCGTCTCATCCACCTTAGTTACACCATACATTTAGTTTAAAGTCTGTCTAGTTTAATTTGTTAGTAATAAACTTTTAAACTTTTAAACTTGACTCTCTCTCTGTCATGTTCTGTGTCTCTTTGTTCCCCAGCCCCTCCAGTTCCCACTCCAGGTTCTCCTTCTGTGTTTCATGGCGCCCTCATGTGTCCTTTGTCTGCATCTCTGTTATGTATCTTATGTTGTAGCCCTTTAAAATCATTCCTCCCAGGTCCTGTGTCATCCAGTCATCCTCAGCCCCTCTAGTTGTAGCTCCAGCCTCTTGTTCCCCAGCTCAGTATGTGTGTGTGTGTGTGTGTGTGTGTGTGTGTGTGTGTGTGTGTGTGTGTGTGTGTGTGTGTGTGTGTTTGTTTTCCTTCCCAGTCAGGTCCGGCGTCCTTTCCTGCTCCTCCTCCCTGATTAGCTATTTCCTTCACCTGCTTCTCACCCCACACACCTGCAATTCATCTCCCTCCCATCCTCCCAGTCTATTTAAGCCCTGTCTTGTCACTCTGTGTTGGTTGGTTCATTGTTGTATGTGTCTGCGTTGCTCGCTCCCCTCTCGAGTTTCCCGAGTCTGTGCTCATGTGTGAGCTTTTGTTTGTTTTTGAGTTTTCAGTGAGTTTTTGAAAGTTAATCTTATTTTTGCCTTTGGATTTCGGCACATCCTTCTTAAAATAAAGGAATTTATTTTCTTTAACCACTCCTGCCTCGAGTCGTTCTGGGGATTCTGCATCTTGGGTCCAAACCTCCTGCTCTCAACATGACACTCTCTTCTGTTTTCTCTGAGTGAATATGAAGCTGTTATCTAATCCCGGCATTAAAAAGTTCCAATCATCTGGCTTAAATAACCTCACAGATCCGTAAGGTGGATTTCATATTTCCTATGGAATCCTACGCCTTATGGCTTATTAAATAACACGTAATTTAAATTGTAACACAAGACTAAAATGCTCTCATAGAGTATTAAAAGCAATAGAGTAAAAAATGTGTTTTCAGAAATTGCTTAAAAACCACAAATGATGACGCCATCCTAGTGTAGATGGGCAGAAGATTCCATAAGGTTGGAGCTGCTACAGAAAATCCTCTACAACCTTAAGCCTAGCTCCGGGAACAACCCAACTATGTTGGTCAGTTGACCTCAGACAGCGAGACTGAACATAAGGTGAGAACAAATTAGAGAGGTAGATTGGTGCAAGGCCATTTAAACACTTATAGGCAAGAACCAAAATCTTAAACTGAGTACGGAACTCTACAGGGATCCAGTGGAGAGAGGCGAGAATGGGCGACACATGCTACCTTCGACCAGTCCCAGTGAGAAGGCGAGCAGCCACGTTCTGAACAAAATGCAACCGTGAAAGATGTGCTTGACTTACCCCAGATATAGATTATTGCAGTAGTTCAAATGGGATGTAATGAAGGCATGCATTAATTGAACATTTTTGGGGAAATTTAATGTTTTCTAATTTAGCTTTTTTTTGTCCCCAGTGCTGTCATTTTTCCATCAGCTGCCTGCGTGCACCTGCTTCAACCCAGATCAGCTGACCATCTGCTTTTGGCTGAAGTTCAGAGGAGATCAGGCATTTTCACAAGTCACCCAAAACTTCCTGTTTTTAAATCTCATTTTTCCAATGGCTTTTGACACAGTACAAAGTTTATGCCACCATTTAAATATTTTACTTTCAAATAAATGTATTTATTTTATTTTAGTGTTTTTATACATTTTTTTCTTTTAATTCTGTCGTGCTGTTGTTTTTGCTCGTATTGTTGTCTGCGTCTTGTTCGTTTCACTGTTGAGCAGCGCTTTGACTCACTTGTTTAAAAGATATGAGAGGAAAAACTTGCAATTAATTCTTTCAAATAGTTCGGACTTTGCTGTTTTGTTTAGTCATTCCATTTCTAGTTACATTCGTTGTTAGCTTCACTGTTTGTTTGATACTCATATTTTGTATTTTGCTATTTGTTAATATTTTTATTTGACTTCTTGAGGATTTTTCATCCTTTTAAATTTTCTTATAAAATAAGAGCTTGTTTCCTTTATGACATTTATCATTTCTCAGCTCATCCGCCCTCGCTATGCAAGAGAACCAGAATGCCATCACAGGCTAAAAAACTTTCTGCAGACTTTGAATGATGTTTGTAACCTTTTACATCATAAAGATGGAAAAAAAGAAAGTTTTTTTTAATGTAAACCCCTAATAGGGTGAAACTTTTTGAAAAATGACCGTCTGTACGTCTGTTATGATCAGGAGAAAACCGTTACCATCCAGCAAAAAACTTTGCTGCAGTCCTAAAAGTTGAATACCAGTTGAATTAGTACTGATATTCTCACAAATAACATCTCATTTGATAATAAATAATTGAGCTCAAAGGGATTTCTCAGAGTAAACATTTTAAGCAAAAGTAATGATTTACTTTTGCTAAACAAATTTTCCTGTTGTTAACTAAATATGTAAATGAAATGATAATTATTGTGCTTATGCTTGGATTTTTTTTTTCATGCTTGAATGAACATACCAGTTTTAAATAAATAAGTAAATAAAAAAAACATAAATAAGGTGCCTTCATTTGCTACACATGTATAGTATTTACATCACGGAGGAGCACTGACACAGCATCTAATAGCAAAATTATTTTTTTACTTTAATGAATTTTAAAAAGAACACAAAGATTATAAAAGTTTCAAATCTACTAATTCTATTCCTCTCTTTGTCAGTCCAAATGATTTTAGACCGCCAACGTGACTGCAGATCAGCGGCGACCAATCAAAACTGAAGCTGCTCTTTTGTCTGGATGCTTGTGAAGGGCTCTCCGCCCGAGCCTCATCATGCAGCTAATTCAGATGTAACCCCACTTTAACACACACACACACACACACACACACACACACACACACACACACACACACACACACACACACACACACACACACACGCACGCACGCACGCACGCACGCACGCACGCACACACACACACACAGAAAGCTTTTACTTTGTTTTTGCATTTTGCTTCCATCTTTTAAAAATGGACCTCCAACTAGCTTGATAAAGTTTTTTAAAAGAATCTGAAATAAAAAGTCTCAGGGTGTCACTTTAGACTTTGTTGGATTCTGTTGGGTTCTGATTAGGACTCACATGTCCCTTTAATTGGGACTCATATATTTGAATGATAAAAAAATGATCTCACTGTATATTTTTGTTACATTTAGTATAAAAAGTATGACGTGTGGCTCACCTGTCGGCTTTCCAGCTGTTGACTTTGTCTCCATCTTTCTCTCCTCCTCTGCCTCCTTCTCAGACTCTTCATCCTGCTCCTCTCCCTCCTGCTCACCCTTCTCTCCTCAGAGGGAAAACAAGGCGACACCTCAGCCGAGATCACGGTCTGGTTTGTCACCTCTGTCCCACCGCTTCCTTCCTCTTCATCATCAACCACGTTGTCCTCGGCCTCGTCTACCTCCTGCTCAGCCTCGGAGACAGGTGGGATGTGTGTTTGACCTGAACTGTTTTGTGATGAGCTCTCAGATGCTGCTCCAATTCTCACCTCTGTCCAGAATGAATCTGAATCTCTGGATTGTGGGTGCAGGTCTCCTACCAGTGGCCTTGGCTGGGCTGTAGATCTGGTTTTAATGGCATTTCTGGAGAACTGGGAGTTTAAATGGGACGTCTGAGTGAAGGCAATGCCCTGGGGTTTAGGCCAGGTTGGTCTCCTCTCAGTGCTGTTTGATGTTTCTCTAACTTCCACAATACTGTCAACTCTACTGCTGCCATCTCCAAGTGATTTTTCCACCTTTCGTTGCCTTTGTCGAGCCGTCTCGTTGCCACCAGAGAGTTCAAGTTTGAAGCTTTCTTCTTCTGTTTCTCGACTTTCTTCTCTCCATCGTCCTTTTCCGTGCAGAGTAGGTCTCACCAGCTGCTCCACATTGCTCGTCCTTCCTTCTCCAGCCAGGTCGGCGCTCCTCAGTCGAGGTCTCACTGCCTTCACACACACGCTGCTATTTTCCTCACCCTCTTCCTCGTTCCCACCTCCTCCAGTTTGGTTTGAGCCAGCTAAAACAGAAGCTCCCATGTGGGAACTCATGATAGAACATTAAAGCCTCTCAGTCTCCAGCCAATCACATCTAATTCAACCAAACAAACTGATTTCATCCCTTCTATCCATCCCACGGTCTTCCTTCTTAGTCCCAGTTCCTTTGAAAGGGTAGATTCAAGCTCCCTTTTTGGAGAGCTGGAGGGACTTTTCCAGTTCAAAGGGGATGAATGATGCCGCTCTCTGGTCTGTCCTGTCCTGTTCCTGTCCATGTGAGTCCCCTGGGGCATTCCACACTGTTAAAAAAGTCCCCATTGCAGGCCCCATTACAATAGGTGCCCCATTCACAGCCATGCTATTGTTCTGTGCATCCTATAGAACATTCACTCTGAACTCACAAAAATGAGGTGGAAAAAGCCAGCGCAATGGGTTTTCCAGATTCCAATGAAAAGTCAGCTCTTTTTTTCTCACACTGGTTAATAATCAGGGGGGAAAACATTAGTTTAAGCACATTCTTATTAAAAATCCTGTTTCTCTGGCCTATCATTGACATATTGTTTATGATTAATTAGCTTTACATTGGTGCATTCACATTAAAATCTCCTTATTGGTTACAATGTGAGGAAATAATTTTTCTTGGTAAAAAAAAATGACATATTAAGTGCAGTTGCAGCATGAATGCACGAATGCTTTGACTAGACTCCAAACAACTAATTTAAACGGACATTAAATTTTCACTATCTCTCTGACCGCTACCTCCATCTCCACTGGGAGGTCAGCCGCTCCACAAAATAAATAAATAAAATAAAAATAAAAATAAAAAAGCCTAAAGCTCAACTGCAGTTACTGCAATACACACAATGAGCAGCAGATGGCAGCAGTGAGCCTCTGTGGTCTTCAGTGGAACTGTCCCTGGTCCTGAAATATATTTCATTTTCTGCGCTCTGGTCATAACTCAGTTGAAAATACAAATCAGCGCCTGTGGAAGTTATGCATTTATTTTCACAGTAACTTTAAATGTTGGCATTTTAACTAGAAAATATTCAAAATATTACAATAAATAAAATATATTTACCCTGTGAATATTTCTATTTTGAGCTTTGTCTTATTATTACCATACACCAATTTTACGCATTAAGCATGAAAGAAGATTTAAAAAAATAAGCAAACTAACAAAACAACAACAACAACAACAACAATAATAATAATAATAATAATAATCTTTTCAGTAAGTCCAGTGTGACTAGAATAAAAGGAAAGCAGCAGCAACGCAGTGCCCTCTCCGCGTGTCTGTGGTGAAAAGCGCTGAAACCCGGAGCGCAAAAGCAGAAAACTCCTGGGTAACCTCCTCCCGGTCTGACGTACCCAAAGCTGTTGGTATAAATGAATTCACGGCATAGCCAGGTTCAGATGACTCGCAGTCCAAGTGAGCGCACCCGGCTGTCCGCACTCATGGGCTGTCACACGTGCACCAACCTGGTCGTGCACACTCACAAACTGTGCGTCATGCGTCCTGAGAGCGACAGCGCGAGCGTGGTGATGGATACCGTGAAACGCACGGCATCAGCAGCATCAGCATCAGCAGTTTGACTTCTACTCATCTTTCCTCTCACGCACCCCCCACTGCTGTAGGAAAGTTTCCCCGTGCGTGAGGCGGCATTATGGATTTTACCACACGGAACAACGACAGTAACGCGACCAGCGGCTACCCTGAAGGGATGGACGTGGTTGCCGACTGGATCGGAGGTGAGAATGTCACGGGGTCTGGGCTTATCCCAGATCTGGTTCTGGCTTACCAGATCATCACCTCTCTGCTCCTGGGGGCCCTCATCCTCTGCTCCATATTTGGTAATGCATGCGTCGTGGCCGCCATCGCCCTGGAGAGATCTCTCCAGAATGTCGCCAACTACCTGATCGGATCCCTGGCAGTGACAGACCTGATGGTGTCGGTGCTGGTTTTGCCCATGGCGGCCCTCTACCAGGTTCTAAACAAGTGGACTTTGGGGCAGGAGATCTGTGACTTATTTATCTCTCTGGATGTTCTGTGCTGCACGTCCTCCATCCTCCATCTGTGCGCAATTGCCTTGGACAGGTATTGGGCTATAACTGACCCCATCGATTATGTAAATAAACGAACACCAAAACGAGCCGCACTCTTGATTTCCGCAACTTGGCTAATTGGTTTCTCCATCTCCATCCCGCCCATGTTAGGGTGGAGAAGCGCCGAAGATAGGGCGAACCCCGACGCCTGCATGATCAGCCAGGACCCGGGCTACACCATCTACTCCACGTTTGGAGCTTTTTACATCCCTCTAATCCTAATGCTGGTTCTGTACGGGCGAATATTCAGGGCTGCTCGGTTTCGAATTCGAAAGACGGTAAAGAAAACTGAGAAAGCAAAAGTTTCAGACAGGTGCTTGACAATATCTCCTGCCATCTTCCACAAGAAACCCAACGGAGAGAGTGGTGGCAAAGGCTGGAGGCGCTGTGACGAGTCTAAATGCAGCTCTCCGTGCGTAAACGGCGCCGTGAAACACGGGGACGAGGGCGAGTCGCTGGAAATTATAGAAGTTATCAGCAACTCCAAGACGCACTTACCCCTGCCCAACACCCCCCAGTCGTCCTCGCAGGGTTATGAAAACATGAACGAGAGAAACTCGGGTGCAAAGCGCAAACTGGCGCTGTCCAGGGAGCGCAAAACCGTGAAAACGCTCGGGATCATCATGGGAACTTTCATCGTGTGCTGGCTGCCCTTTTTCATCGTGGCGCTGGTGCTGCCTTTCTGCGCAGACAGCTGCTACATGCCCGACTGGCTGGGCGACGTTATAAACTGGCTGGGATACTCCAACTCTCTCCTGAATCCCATCATTTATGCCTACTTCAACAAAGACTTCCAAAATGCTTTCAAGAAGATCATAAAGTGCAAATTCCACAGAGCGTAAAAGCACAGCCCGGACAGAGCAGCAAAAACAAAACAAAAAATAACTCACAGACTTTCATTCAGGGACAGTTTATTTTTGGTGCATATCAGAGGAGTGTGTGTGTAAAAAGAAAAACACACAAATAAAATTAAAAAAGGACATCTTTGTTCCTAATGTACAAGCTCATGTTTCTTCAGTGTTGTAGCTATATAATCCTACAGGAGCCATCATTGTGCTGTCATGCAAGATCCGTCTTGTATTGATTCCATGCATTTTACCATGAGGCACGAAGGATTTCAGCCGCGCTCCATCATGAGCTTTGTAGCACTGAAACAATAAAAGCAGTCAGCTTGTCATTAAGAAATTTGAGTTGATTTTTATTCAGACAAAGGGCGAAAGAGAGAAGGAAAACACCAGCAGGCCTGCACCAAGCTGTCTCCTCATACATCTTCATGAAGGTCAGGTCATGAGGACTGAATGGTTCACTGTGTTGTTGAGCAAACGGCAGGAACAACTTCATTATTTGCTCTGGCAGGCCGCTCTGATGCTGATGGAAAGCGAGCAGGTTGTCACAAGTGGATCTCAGGGCTCTTAGCAAATAGATGTTGAATAAAACCAACTGTCTGGCTTGTAAATCCAATTTGACACTAAGAAGAAAGTAAAACTTTTTAGATTTTGTTCTAAACTTCAGAGGAAACATTGATTCAGGCCCTGCAAACAGTCAATGTCGCATGGACATGCAGATCTTGTTTATGCTGAGTCCATCGGCCCAGAGCACTTCTGTAGGTCGTCCAATAGGCCTCTGGTCTCATGGATGACAAAAGCCAATGCAGTAAAACATTCTGTCATTATTTTAGTCCTTAAAAAATAAATATGTACATTTTGTGCAAAATAAGTGAAACAATTTAAAAAAAAGACCACATAAGAGAAAGAAGGGGAACTTCATGGCCAAGAAGCTGTAACTCCTGTCATCTGATACATAAATCCCGTACACAAATCCACTTACAGGAGATACAAAGATACAGACTGTCAGAGGAAAATAACTTTCAGGAAGAAGCCCGGTGAGCCCTGCACACTGCACAAGATGGGTGGCTATTTGACCTGTTGTCGTGGCAACACATCAATCCCAAGGCTTAGTGGGTTTGTTGGAGTGGCAGGAAGGCTGTGGGGCTGAGCACAGACAGGAATGTGAGACGCAGCGTGACGGTTTAGAGATGACAGCTGTGGCGTCCAGAGATGTTCTGGTAAAAAGTGTCCAGCAGGAAAACGAATTCACAGCTCTGCTCTGAGCTGCTATGTTTGATTTTACTAAATCTTAATTACCAAATGAGATAAGAAGGTCTACCTCTGCGTTTCTCATCTCCAGGTTCTTGTCGTCTCAAAAACAAAAAGGTTAATTTAGGAGATAACCTTCCATAATGAAGTTGCAAGCCATTAATGCCACCTCCAGTAATTATGTTCCTGCAAACAATGGAATATAAAACTGTGAATAATTCATAGCAAATCTATAATGTAGCTGTGGCTACAGTAAAGGGTTTGTGGTTGCACTCATGACCTGTGGATAAAACTTTTGTTTCACACGATCTGTGTTTGGTTTGAAAGTTTTAAATCACCTTCTTTTGAAGCTTTTCCATCACGCCCTGCAACCACAGTTAGTCCTTTCCCTCATTTAGGATAGAGAATATAGATATGTCTAAAGCTAGATGAAAGTTTTGTCAATAAAAAAGTAATAATTCATTCAAATCTAGCAAGAAAAGGCAAAGCTTTTAATGTCTAGGAGCGCCGCCCTGCTGCTTTTAGCTCCAGTTTTCTTCAGCTGGTACCTTTCGCCTCGGCGGTGTTTGATCTCCGTGCTCTCTGGGCTTTGATTTCCCCTCATAGACCAGAGACATGCATGTTAGCCTAATTAGTTATTCTAAATTGGCTGCAAGTGAAAGTCTGCATGGATGTCCGTCTCATTATGTGAGGCTTTTGATGGAGTGGGTGGTGACGCAACCGGGGTTTAGCGCTCGTTCGGTTGCAGCTTAAAACTCTTCACACAGTTAAAAAATAAACATGCTTTATAGGTTAATAGGTGGTTCTTAATCAACTGTGTTGGAGCAGGGAAGCACCTAAAACATGCCGGATGGTGGCTGTTGAGGACCAAACTGGTCATCGCTGCTGTCGAATTAACTTTTTTTTAAATATATGAATACAGGAATGTGTGTGTGTGTGTGTGTGTGTGTGTGTATGTGCCATAAAGAAAGTCACAAAACCCTTTTATTCCCACGCACTTTATTCCCCTTTTCTGTTTTTTTGTTGCAAAATAATTGCAATCAAAAGACTTTTGAGGAAATTAATCACAAATCTGCTACTTCTGTGCGATATTCTGATGAGCTCAGAGGTGTCCAAGTGGAGGACGAGCTCTGAGCCACCGAGTTTGTGAACCCGTTGGTGTCATTACATGTTGGTCACGATGAACGAGATTACAAAGCAGCTTTGAACTGTGCTGTAATATCAAAGGCTTGGATTGTGAGACTGCAACAATCCAACTCATTATGGGACTCTTGAGTGATACATGGGTGGGTGTGAGGGTGATGACGCAAGAGCTTCAACCCAGAAACTGGGAGGAGAGATGTGGATCACATGACAGGAACAAAGTCAAATGCAGAGTTTATTATGTTTATTTGCTTTAAATATAAAATCTACCAGCATATGTTTGTATATGTACATAAATACCAACATTTTTTTGGTAGAAGTTTTTTTAATCAATTCAGCAGTTTGATCATAAAGGCTAGCTGCTCTCAGTTTAAAGCAGAAACACTTTTGCAACAAATATTTGAATCAGTGGCACTTTAATTACTTTTAGGGCAGGACATCTAATGAGGACTTTGCGCCCTGATATTTAGCTTGAATGAAAAATAACCACATTTTTTTATCATCCAAACATAAAACGGAAGTTTTTCTTCTTTTACAAACAGAAACTTAAACTGTGCAGACAGAAACAATTTTGCAATGAAATAGTAGAAATACAAATGCACCGCCAAATTAAAATCCCCCAAAACTATAAAGATATTGTAAAAAAAAAAACATTTTTAAAAGTCAGACTTACTAAATGTATTTATTTGAATGAGAATCTTACAATAAAAATGTGAAGCGTTGGTAATATTTAAAGGGAAAAACATAGTGAAATTTTAGTATTTAAAGGGCAAGTAACACCTAAATCAACATGTATTTGCTGATAATCTGTATAGATGAATGTCTAATGGCGCTGTAGACATGTGTAATTGCAACTTACTTAAAATATAATATTTCAGCCCTAAACCGTAATTATATCTCCATTCTGAGGTTAAAACGCTGCTCCACATCAGCCACAGCTGATTGCTGTAGAGCTGCAGGGTGACGTTGTCTGTACTGTACTACGTGGCTGCACTGCACTGGAATCCCACTGAGTCTCAGCCGCATCCCCACCTGGCTCAACCACTCAACAGGTGATAGGACACGTTGGTGCTCTGACATGCTCACCTCCTTAAAAAAACATCCACTTCCCCTTTCTTCTAGTAATCGCGGTGAACAGGAAATCCTTCATGCAGCCAGTTTGTGTCTGCTCTTCTTCCGAGCGGTAAGTCTGCTCTTTGTGCTAGCGTGCACGTGCGAGTGGGCGCACACATTTCAACGACTCTTTTTGCGACTGAGAAACTCAAAAGAGCTCACTTGAGGGAGTTGAGAGGGGTGCTGTCGATCAGTGCCTCAGTCCCACTCTCTCCGTCCTCCAGGCATCGCCTTTTTTTGAAGTATTTTTCTAACAGGAAGTCTGGTTGAAATACATCTCCACTCATGGTGTTACTCACACTTTAAAGTCTCGACCGTGTTTGGTTTTAAAAGTGATTTTAACATATGGCAATTCTTTACAGTAAGTCAAGAGAATACCATCAGTAATGAGTGTCCAATAATAATCCATTCATCCATTTTCAGCAGCTCATCTGGAGTTGGGTCGTGGGGGCAGCAGCGTAAGCAGGGAGGCCCAGGCTTGCCTCTCCCCAGCCACTTGGACAAGCTCCTCTGGAGGAATCGCAAGACATTCCCTGGCCAGCAAAGAGACATAATCCCTCTAGTGTGTCCTGGGTCTTCTCTTGGGTCTCTTCCTGGTTAGACGTGCCTGGAAAATCTTTCCAGGAAAGAGTCCAGGAGGCATCCTAACTGGCTTCTCTCAACGTGGAGGAGCAGCAGATCTACTCCGAGCCCCTCCCAGATGACCGAGCTTCTCACCCAGTCTCTAAGGGCGATCCCAGCCACCCTGCGGAGAAAACACATTTCAGCCGCTCGTTCTTTCAGTCACTACCCAAAGCTCATGACCACAGATGAGGGTAGGAACGTAGATCGACCGGTAAATCGAGAGCCTTGCCTTCCGGCTCAGTTCTCTCTTCATCACGACAAATTAGTACAACACCCGCACCACCGCAGATGCAGCACCAATCCACCTGTCAATCTCACACTCAATCTTTTCCTCACCCATGATCAAGACGCCGGGATACTTAAACTCTTCCACTTGCGACAGAACCTCACACCCAGCCTGGAGAATTCTGGCATTCTACCCTTTTCTGAGTCATGAATTAGATTTAGAGGAGCTCATTTTCATCCCCGCCGCTTCATACTCAGTAGTGTGCTCAATAATGATGATAATAATTATAATAATAATAATGATGATGATGGTGATGATAATAATAATAATAATAATAATAATAATAATAATAATAATAATAATAGACTGTTACAGAACCTGTTATTCAGAAACTTCAATTATTTGAATTTTTATTTGAATTAAAATTCTTTTGGATCATTTAATCTTTCTGCTCTTTGAGGTTTTCTATCACACTGAATCAGAAATATACTAAATATGTGATCAAACCAAACCAAGGATGAGAAATGCTTAAAAGAAAACATCAGATATGACCAAATGCATGGCACGGCGCCCCCTCCATCTTCAGGGTCTTTCTGATCCATGAGAGAGCTCATCCCATCACGCCCCGGAGACTCCAGCTCTTCCTTCCCAGCCGGTGACTGAAAACCACAAAACTCCTTCTGACATGAAGAAATGAGGGTTTTCTGTTATCGGACATGTGGGTATTTACTTTTTACAAGGTAGGCTTGTCAGAAACAAACATGCCATGTCTGTTTTGCAGCATGGTCATGATATTGATGGACAGGAATGCCTCTTGCTCACATGGACCCAAAATCATCGCTGTGATGAAAAACATGAACTCAAGGACAACAGCAAACACACAAAAACAGGCATGAGTAAACAATGCCTGATCCATCGTGCCACTTCCTGCTTTCACAGAAGATTGAAAAGCATGAAGAAGAATTGTCATGACCCCAGGAACACTTCACCTAAGCTTTCCAAATCTCAAAGAACTCGCTTGCCTCTTCTCTAGCACCAAAACAAACACGTGTTGCTGTTTTTGAAACTCCCCTTTCCCCAGAGGCCTGCTCGGTGCAGTTTGATAAGAGTTCTTTGGCTTCTAAACTTTGAAAGGATTAAGTCTGGGGGCGTGCACAGAGGTGGGGTACCGCGGCATGACACAAACACTGGCGGCGGCGCAAAGGCTCCAAACAAAGACCTATCTGAGCCGAACAAGTGCCCTCTCAGTTTGCTGGAGGGAGTTACAACCTCAAGGCTGCTCGTTTGTTTCAGTGTGTTTGTGCACAGGTTACCGGGATGCATTTTACTAAAACGTGGACAAATTATGTTTAGAAGGTTTGGTAGCTTTAAATTTAGCAAAAAATGAAGGGAACCTCATCATTTAAACCAACTGAGTGAGATTGCAGGTCCTTCACTCATATTTTAATACATTTGCAGTGGTCTCTAGTAGGACTAGAATCCTCGTAAAGCCTAATTATGCTTCTCCATCTGCGTCGGTATGGAGACACACAACGTCAATATCCATCGTTGTGAGGGCTCTCCAACAAGCACACAAGGACAGACGGGTCAAGCCCACTTTTCTGAACATCTGTCAAAGGTGACTTGTGATTGGTCAGGACACCGCTTCCTTAAATTCATCAACAGCATCGTCATAGCCCCCTAAAAAAATTAATGGAAACAGAGCCGAAGATACCTTGCAGCAGACACAGAGCAGCTTGAAGAATACCTCAACTAAAAATATTAATATTTATTCAGGCATGGCTGGAAGAGTAGAAAGGTACACAGCAAGTGTTTTATTTGTGAATGTAAATCACGGGAAACATGGGTTTAGCGGTGGTGAGCACATGAAGAGGTGGAGGAGAATGAGGGACAAATTTGTTTGTGTTAAAAAGTCTCTGAAATCCGAGAAACACAACATAAACACAACAGTAAATGCACTATCTTGGACTGGACACATGACAGGATACTCACGAAAGGTGCTATGCCCGCTGTTGTCTTGACTGGGAATAGCTTTGCAACATTCCCTGGGTGACAGAGAAGTACGAGAAGTCTCGTGCGCTCGCGTCTCTTCCTCGTGGAGCTGACGAATACGCATAAATTTGACTTTGTCAAACTCTATAGAAAAACTCATCTGTGCGTCTGTTTCAGTATGTTAAAATTCTGCCGGAGCTAAAGTAGCTTCAGACGGCAGGATTTGGAGTCTAATTTTGGACATCTTGCCTCTGATTGGCTAACAGAAACGTAACAATATTGATGTTTTATCTAAACAAATTATAGGAGTTCTGCTGTGTTGTGGAGTTGCTAATGCTAATGGTTAGTTTCTACTAGCTAAGACATTCTAATTTTGGACATCTTGGCTCTGATTGGCTAACAGAAACGCAACAACAGTGATGTTTTATCTAAACAAATTATATATATATATATATATATATATATATATATATATATATATATATATATGAGTTCTGATATATATATATAGGAGTTCTGCTGTGTTGTGGAGTTGCTAATGCTAACAGTTAGTTTCTACTAGCTAAGGCGTTCTAATTTTGGACATCTTGCCTCTGACTGGCTAACAGAAACGCAACAACATTGATGTTTTATCTAGACAAATTATATATATATATATATATATATATATATATATATATATATATATATATATATATATATATATATTTATATATTTGAGTTCTGCTGTGTTGTGGAGTTGCTAATGCTAACAGTTAGTTTCTACTAGCTAAGGCATTCTAATTTTGGACATCTTGCCTCTGACTGGCTAACAGAAACGCAACATTGATGTTTTATCTAGACAAATTATATATATATATATATATATATATATATATATTTTAGTTCTGCTGTGTTGTGGAGTTGCTAATGCTAATGGTTGGTTTCCACTAGCTAAGACATTCTCTGCTGTTTCCTGGTCGTTAAACAAACAACAGCCTTCCCCGTCAAAAGTCAAGAGTCCATGAATGCCAAGTGACAGTGTGATGTAGATCTGTCAGGATTTCCAAATCCTAGAGTTTCACCTTCTATTTTCTATCAATTTGGTAAGTAGTGATGTTTGAAACCATCTGTTTTACTTATATCCAAAATACCAATATGGTCTAACTCTTAATTTCCAACACCAGTACGTATGGGGTCGTCCCTCATTAAAAAATAACAACAAAATCATCAGATAACATCACACATCTCCTGCTATCCAAACTTTAAATGATATCTTTGCTAAATTTGACAATTTTGGGTTTAAATGGGACATATTATGC